GCTAGGATTACAGGCGTGAGCCACTGCGCCCGGCTAATACTGGAGAATTTGGGTAAATAGGATCCAGTGAGTTATTGGATTAGGAGTCAGAAAAAGGGAAGTGTCAAGATAGACCCCAAGATTTCCAGCATGAGGGACTGAATCGGGGGAGGAACTCCAGTTGTGGAATTAGGGACGACGGAAGCGTGACCAGATCGGGTAATCCCGAATGCCTGATTACACAGCTGGCTGCTGGAGTCACAACTGGGCAAATCGATAAACAACGTCCCATTTAAGTCTTTTGTATCTTGAAATACGGGATTTCCTGTGCTCCACAACGAAGTCAGTACCTGATTTTAATGCTGTGATAGCATCGCACAAAAATCCGAATCTATGTCGTGAACTGTAGGGGGCTTGATTCCTTGAGAAGTAAGGTCCAAATTCTGAACTAGCATTCCAGAGACCTTCGAGTAAGTATAAATTCTGTTGCTGAATCGCAGGGCAATTTGGATGTAGGATTTCCATTTGGGGGTTTATAATTTATCTTCTCGGGAAAATGAGATTACCCTTTCTTATGTTGGAAAATCAAACTAATATTTTGTTTCTGTTGATCACAGTCAAGGATTATGAGCCATGAAGGGAGAACAGGTTGGGGCCGGGTTTTGCTTCTGTGCGGCAGGTGACTCGGTTTGACCAGTGCTTCAGTGTCTGCAGTCGTGATCATCTGGCCGTTTTCTTTTCCTGTCTGCTCAGCATGCGACACGCACTGTAGAAGCTGCGACTCGCAGGCCAGCTGCACTTCCTGCCGAGATCCCAGCAAGGTCCTGCTCTTCGGGGAATGTCGGTATGAGAGCTGCGCCCCGCAGCATTATCTCGACTTCTCCACCAACACGTGCAAAGGTAAGGCTCTTCTTGCATCGCGTGGGGTTGTTCTTTGACTCAGACAAACGCCTCCTCTGTAGACGTCCAGTCCTCCACACTGGGAAAATGCCAGTTGTCGTAGGTTTTGACTTTCTCTGATGTATGAATTCATTTATTCACTCCTTTATTTACTAGGCAATAATTTTGAGCACCTTCTGTGTGCCAGACACTGTGCTAGGTGTTGGGAACTAGACCGGAGGCAGCAGACTGGAAATGCTCAGGTTGTATTTGGCTCATGGGCATGTTTCGTTTAGCCCACGTCATGTTCCAATGCTTTAAAATCTTTAATTATTTGCCTTTTAAAATCAGGAGAATTCACATACAAAAATTGAGATTTTTTCAGGAGTTTTGGGGGGAAAAAGCCAGAAGATCTGGCAGTAATGGATTTGCGTTCCCACAGTGCAAGAATAGGCTGGAACTAGGTGGCTGTCGTTCCTGCCGGAGGGAGCGTGGTGCGTCCAGCTCTCCACAGTCCTCATCGTTGCCCTTTCTCTCATCTGGGCCGATTCAGAAGATTTACGTTACCTGGCTGTAGGCGTTGCCCCGACAACCTTGCATTGCTAGACTCCAGGCTTAATGAGGTCGAGAGTTGTGTCTGATTTGTTTGTCTCTGCCTCGCATACTTACACGAGTGAGCACCGTCCCTGTCTTCAAGGGATTTATTAGGAGATAATGTCAAAAACCGAGCTCCTTTTTCCTTGCTCTCCACAAGTTGAGATTCCCGCTCTTTGAGTGGCTGTGCTCAGCAAGGGTTGAAACAGGGAAAGAACAAGTTTTTCTTGACCTTGTGTATTCCCTTCTCCTTCCACATTTCCCTCCATCCCTCTGGTGCTGGCAGAGAAGGAACTCAGAAATGGAGGTCAGACATCTGTCAAGTAAACTTGGTATCCTTTAAGGCTCTGCGAAATTGCACTTTCTATCCCAAGAAATTCTACTTGGTTGTCAACGTAGGGGGTCTGCTGTGCTCAAGACCACAGAAGCTTTTCTGGTTTTTTTTCCTTCTAACCAGTGGCTGTCAGTTTGTGGTGAAAAACAAGATTATCACAAATCCTGCCTGTTGTAAATGATTTCATAACTGTGTTGGCAGTTTCCAAGGCTCTGTTTTAGTGGGATTAACTTTGTGAATCTTGGATCACGTGTGCTGTCTTGCACATTTACCTGCTTCTGTGGGACTTGGAAACATTGTATCAAGTTAGAGAAAAGGTGACTAATGGGTTTCTGCAGCTTCTTCGTGGCAGGGGAAGGTGGGACTGAGGTGGCCCTGAGTGGAGACAGGTTCCCTAAGAAGAACAGTTCGGCAGCAAACATTTATTGAGCTGTTGCTGTATTGCCAGGCACTGTGCTAAATTCTTTACCTTCATTATTCATTTAATCTTCACAATAGTCTTATGCAGTGGGTACTATTCTTATCCCAGTTTTAAAGATGAGAAAACCGAGGCTCAAAAGTTTAAGGACACTGTGTAGGATAAAGCCATGACTGGAATACAGATTTGCCTCACTTCAAACCCAGGAACTTAACCTATCTTGGGCCCATCTTCCAAGCGTGGAAGAGTTAGCTTTTCAGCTAGAACACTGGCTCCCAAACGTGAGTTTTCTGGCTGCACGAGAATTACCTGGGCCATTAAAAGTAACAGCAATAGCCACACCCACAATAATAATCATAACGACAAAAATAATGATAGCAGCACGTTTTCCCGTACCCCTGCCAACCCGAGACTCTGATTGGATAGGTCTGCTGTTGAGCCTGATGGTCTGTGTTTCTCTCCATCCCCCTGGATTATCTGGGTGCATGTCCAAGGTCAGACCCTGTTAGAACAGAAGCTCCTTGAGGGCAGGGTCTGGGCCTGCCCTTCCTATTCCCCTCCTACCCCGTTCAGTGACGCACAGCCCATAGGTGCTTGCTGAGCAAACGGACACGTAAATGAGTCAGTTCTGCAGCCCTGGATGAGATCCTTCGTGGTTTCACTAAGCCCTTTCTAGATGTTTCTTTGATGCCCCTTTTAATTCTAGCGTCATCGGTTCTTTCTGTCGTGTTGGCTCACACCTGATTGTTGAGAGGGAGAAAGTCACGTGGCTGGTGTCACTGTTGGCAGCAGGTGCGTTCTTAGAGGAGCGCCTGACACCCGTTTACCTGTTGAGCATGTGGAGGAGGTCAGGATTGGGTTGTGGGGCAAGTTGGCCACACCCTGTGACAGGCTTTGCGTGAGGACTGGGGTGGCACAGGGATAAAGAACATGGCGCCCACGGGCCACCAGCCAAATCGATGCTGCTTCTTGGCAGCTCCACCGGCAGCAGCTCTGCGCGAGCGCGGCGCTCTCCTGTACGTGCCTGTGTCCGACATAACCGGGAAACACTAAAGTTCAGAGAAGCGTTCATGCCGCTACAAGCAGAAACCTCACTCGAGCTCGCTTATCTGACACATCTTCTGTTGTCCTTATTTTACTCTTGCAGCTGCAGACGCAGCCTCATAAATTAGTCCCTGGGTTGAGGCTGGACAAAAAGGAAGCGAATCTAACACAGACTTTCTCCTTAGAGTGTGACTGGAGTTGCAACGTGTGCAGCGGGCCCCTGAGGACAGACTGCCTGCAGTGCATGGACAGCCACGCGCTCCAGGACGGGGCCTGCGTGGAGCAGTGCTCGGCCTCCTTCTACCGGGACGCGGGCCTCTGCAAAAGTGAGCTCCGAGGCCCCTCTCTGGGATCCCCAAGCCTCGGCCGCCTCTGTGCTGTTCTGAGAAAGAGCCTGCGGCGACCTTCCCCTTCTGGCTTTTGACCCAGTTCTGGCTTCTGTCCTAGGAGCTAGCTCTGTCGTCATGCAGGTTTTCCTCTTGCATTTCTCGTGCCCTGATACAGCTTTGCTGAAATTTGAGGCCGGTGTGGGAACCTTGGGGATATGCGGTCACAGAAACAGATACGTGTCAGCCATTACTTTCAGACATCCTTAAAAACTGGACAGTCCTGACCTCCAGATGGGAGGGTCTGTGTGTCCCGGGCATCTGAGCAACGGGAAGACCCTGTTATTACACCATCTGCCCCTCCACCCTCTGTGTACCGTACGCCTCCCCATCACCCTGTCTGGCCCAGGACCGCTTAGCCTCACTTTAAAACCACAAGGTCCTCAGACCCTGAAATCCCCACCGAAAGTACGCAGAGAGCGTTGCTAGAAGCATTGCTGGGAGACTGATGACAGGAAACATCGATGTTTCTGCAAAACAATACTGAAAGCCAAGGTCTAATTAATAACGATAATTGCTATCTGCTAAGGACTTTCTAGTTTATCTAGCATTTTCCATTACTTAATTTGATCTCCACCCAGGGAGGTGGATGGGACTGTGTTTCCACTCCCATTTTAGAGGGAAGAGCACTGAAGCCCAGAGAGGTCGAGGAACTAGGCCTAGGTCACCCAGCCGGTAGGGACTGTAGTCACAAGCAGAGCCCTGGCTCCCTGACTGCCCGTACAGCGCTTCGCCCGTACACCGGGCTGTGTTGCTGTTGACAGTGAGCGCTGCCTTCCCACAAGGGCCGGGGCCCCCTGGGAAAGCCGCGCAGATTTCTGCTTACTTGGCTTCTGTCTTTCAGGCTGTGGAAGCCACTGTCTCCAGTGCCGAGGTCCTCACGAGTGCACCCGCTGCGAAGAGCCGTTTCTGCTCGAGGGAGCCCGGTGTGTCCAGGAGTGTGGGAAGGGGCACTTCGCAGATCACGCGAGGCACCGGTGCGCAGGTAACGTGGAGACTGGGCGCTCTGCAGGAAATAATCTGCTGATCCTTTAAGTGTCTGGCTCTCCTCCTGCGTTTAAAATCCTACTGCTGCTGCTACTGATAGCAGTCATGGTCGTCGTCATCACAGGGACGGTGGTGGTGGCACAACTGGGCCTTTCTGTGTGCCAGGCACTGTTCTAGTCATTCACATTATAACACCTGGAGTCTTCCCAGCAAGCACTCGCATTGGGTGCTATCACTATGCCCGTGTTTAAGACAAGAAAATTATGGCGCAGATTGTTAGCAGAACTTGCCCACGGTCGGCCGCTGGTGGGTGGTAGAGGAGGAAAGATGTTCAGAAAGAGCCCATGCTCTTAATCCCCGTAAGTATCCTCTCGCGCATGTCAACATGGTTGACTCTTCAAACAGTCCATGTATGTGCCACGGTTTTGGATGGCATTGCTAAGGCAGGGGGTGCTCTTCTCTGTTAGGTTTCCTTCTGAGGGTGGGTCGGCTCCCTGTGAAATTCCGTAGGGAAAGTGTGAGAATTCTCTTTTGTTCCGTTCGGAGATCATCTCTCGCTTGCACACTAACTCGTCTGTCCGCAGCCCCTTTATTTCTCATCCCCGGGGGTCCTAGCAGGGTGTCTGTGCCTTTGCTGTGCTCATGCAGTGCGTCTTCTCTTTGGTTGACAGCCTGCCCTCGGGGATGCTTGCAGTGCAGCCACAGGGACCGGTGTCACCTCTGTGACCAGGGCTTCTTTCTGAAGAGCGGCCTCTGCGTTCCCAGCTGCGTTCCTGGCTTCTCTGCCCACTCCTCCAATGGAACGTGTGCTGGTGAGTGCCTCTCCTCTGATGGTCTGGCAATTTCTCTCTGCAAAGGCTGAGTTTACAAATATGATTGATTCATGTGATATAAAGGAAAACTCCTCGTGCTGCTAAGGAATAAGGGACTCTTTGTAGAATGTGGAAAATCGGGAAAACCCAACTTCTGTGATCTTTGGAAGGGAAAAGGAAGCAATCTATGCTTTAAAAGCCACAGCTATTAGATAGAAAATTTGGCATGAAACATTGCTATGTTCCTGAACTATAGCCGGTTATAGAAAATTACATATATACTGTATTTACATGTATAATTTATTGACTTATATTTGTCTAAGCCTGTAGAGCTCATTATGCCAAGGTGCAATGGAGATAAATTACAAATAAATAATGAGCAGCATGAGGAGCCTGCCCCATGAGGTGCTCACAATTGCGGTGGACGGATTTTAAGCCACCCCATTTGCCATTAAGAACAAGGTGACATGTTACAGGAATGGAGCTGTTCTCTCCAAACACATTCGTGGAAACTCTACCTTAAACAACAAAGGGAAGCAAATTTAAATGCCGTCTTAACTTTGAACCTCGAAAGTGTTGTAGTTGAAGGAAGGTTGGAAGTCACATTATGGCCAAGTGTTCGTTGGCTTTCAAGTGTTGTTCATCAATAACAGGAGGAATTTTTTAACAGCCACAGTTGATCATATTTTCTGTCTCTGTATTTCTGGCCTTTAAAGATATTAAGACTTACTCATGGGGAAAAAATATCCATGGCTTATTTTAGTGGGATCCTTCTGAAAACCCCAAGTTACTTACTCCTCTTGGGGCATAATACAAGGGGACTTGAAGATGAATTCCACTTTCGTTGGAGAAATCTTTCGGTGGACATGGTCCCGCTGAACCTGGGCATTCCCAAACTGTCCCATCTGACCTGGCTGTAGAAGGAAACACTACAGTTAAAGTCCCGGTGAAACTAGTTGCTGGACACAGGAAGAATTCCACATCATGGTAGGAAACCCCTGTTTACCCATCAGATGTTTCATATGGATAGAGATGGTATAATTTTAAAATAAAGTATATATATCAATATTTCACGTGAATTCTGAGTGTGAGCCACTGATAATCCTACTCTGCTGTAGATTAATTAACTGGTACTGTTCTAGGAAATGGTATCAGACATTTGATTCTTTTCTTGCTCTCGTGGGTCTGATGTGGCAGGTGCTTCAGGACAGAACTGTGGTTCTGTTAGGGTTATTAGTATTAGGGTTACCTGGGGAGTTTATAAATTGCTGAGATCAGGGTTCCCTGGCAGCCCGTTAGGGGAGTTGGTAACATTACTGCGGTCCCACCGCAAGACATCTAGGTCAGAGCTCTGGCGGGGAGCCCAGCCGTCAATATTGTTTTAAAAGATCCCTGTATGATTGTTTATTATTGAGATATAATTCAAATACCATAAAATTCACCTTTAAAGTATACAACTCACTGGTTTTTAGTATTTCACAGAGTTACACAACCGTGACCGCTATCTAATCCCAAAACATTCTCATCACCCTGAAGAGAAACCTTATAACCAGTAGCTGTTTGTCCCTATTCCTCCCTCACCCAAACCCCGGCAAGCTCTGACAATCTACTTGTGTCCCTGTGGATTTGCCTGTTCTGGACATTTCACGTAAATGGAATTACACAAGGTGTGGCCTTTTATGTCTGGCTTCTTCTACTCTACACACCATTTCCAAGGCTCGTCCATACTGCAGCAATTATCATTCCTTTTTCTTTTATGGATGAATATTATATGAATATACCAAATTTCGTTTTTCCATTCATCGGTGGGTGGACATTTGAGTTGTTTTCAACTGTTATTATGAAAAACGCTGTTATGAGCATTTGTATGTAAGCTTTTGTGTGGGCAAATGTTCTCGATTCTCTGGAGTCTGTGTCCAGGAGTGGAATTGCTGGGTCATATGGTCACTCTACATTTGATCACCTGAGGAGCCGCCCAACTGTTTTCCCCAGTGACTGCAGCATTTTCCACTCCTGTCAGCAACATACGAGGTTCCGATTTCTCTACCTCGTCACTGTTTATTGTCTTTCCTGGTGGAAGTGAAGTGATACCTTATGATGGTTTGATTTGCATTTCCCCGATGACTAACGATGCTCCGCACCTGTTCATGTGCTTATTGGCCTTTGATATATCTTTGGAGAAATGCCTATTCCAATTCTTTCTTCATTTTAAAAATGGAGCTATTTGTCTTTTATTGTTAAGTTATAGGAATTCTTTATATATTCCAGATACAAATCTTTTTTATAGACACAGGATTTGCAAATATTTTCTCCCATTCTGTGGGTTGTCCTCTCGCTTTCTTGCTGGTATCCTTTGAAACACAAAAGTTTTTAATTTCAATGATGCCCAGTTTATCTGTTTTTCCTCTTGTCTCTTGTGCTTTTCATGTCATTTCTGAGAAAGCCTAATTCAAAATCACAAAAATTTACTTTTACATTTTGTTCTAAGAGTGCTATAGTTTAACGCTCACATTGAAGTCCTATGCTATTTTGATTTTCATCCAGGGGAGGATTATAATAGACAGCAGTCTAGAATCTTATCTGTGTAGCTGTAAATTAACATTACAAGCCTATTTCTTTCTTTTTTTAATAAAAAGGTCATGGCGTCGGGGGCTGGCTGTGGGTAGGGACCATGTGGGAATCAGAGCCCGAGCATGGCGGGAAGTGGGCCTGGTACCTGGTGGGTGCAGTCGTCCGGAGAGCTACTGGTTTGGGATCAGGAATTGTTTTCTCACTTACCCTCTCCAGAAGAAGAATGTGGCCATTGGCCTTTGGTTCTTTCATGGAATTGGGAATGGCCTACTCCAGCTGTCAGCATGACTTCCAGGCTCCATATTTTCTACATGGAAAATAGGCCAATGAAAAGGAGCAGTGGCTTATCCCTGAGAATATCCCAATGGGAGTAAAAGAGAAATCTCATTTATTGCTCAGGAATATGAAGTGGAGCAAGCCGACGGTCTCCTGCACCAATGTTCTCAGAATACTTTAAATTCCATTTCACTGTTTGTATATTGAAACTAAGTCTGTTTCTTGTTTTATGTTTTCTCTCTGGAAATTGTAAGGGGTGGTCTAAAAAGAAATGACTTAAGTTAGCAGCCTCCACCCTTTTTGGCACCAGGGACCACTTTCATGGAAGACAGTTTTTCCACGGACCCAGGGATGGTTTGGGGATGATGCAAGCACATTGCATTTATTGTGCACTTTATTTCTATTATTATTACATTGCAATATCTAATGAAATAATTGTACAACTCGCCATAGGTTGGGGACCCCCGAGTACTGATTGGTAAACGTACCAAGCTAACCTTTGGATTGTATGTTTTCCAGGCGAAACACACACCCCCAGTCTTCACGTGAATGGCTCCCTGACCCTCCCAATCGGTTCGGTGAAGCCGCTGGACTTCTCCCTCCTGAACGTCCAGGACCAGGGGGGCAGGGTGGAAGACCTCCTGTTCCATGTCGTGAGTGCTCCCACCAACGGGCAGCTGGTGCTCTCAAGAAACGGGAGAGAGGTCCAGCTGGACAAGGCTGGCCGTTTTAGCTGGAAAGATGTGAAGGAGAAGAAAGTGCGTTTTGTGCACAGCAAGGAGAAACTCAGGTGACTCAGTGTGCCGTTGTTTTCCCGCTTCCTCTCTGTCTTTGCTCTGCAACCCTCCCCCCCATAGCTATCCCTCCTGGTCTGGGGAAGATCGATACTCCACAAGCACCAAACGCTCTCAGCCACCTGTCATCATTTCCCTGTAATTGCCCAGAGAGCGTGCTTCTGTTGGAGGCATTTTCATTTTATCACGTAATTATGGGTAATTCTCTGATGCGACAGGAAAATTCCTAGTACAATTATCCAGATTTTTTGCCCAGCAGAAACACAAGTGGTTATATACCCAGATGCCACAGCTGCTTCTTCCAAAATTAGGATAATATGCTGGGAGGAGGGGGCAGAGAGAGGATGGAAAACATGCTTTTCAAGGTGTTGCACGGTCCCTAGGATTTCAGAGTTGGAAGGAGACTTAGAGTCACAGTTAACTTTGCATTATCCACATTATGGGATTAATTGTGGTTAATTTTTAAGCCTGATCCAGTTTTCCTCTGATGCTCAGCATACTTTTGGCTGTCTTCCCAACCCCAACTGACAAATGCTTCAGGAATGCAGCTGAATGTTAACACTAGCCCAAGCAAATATACATAATTAGCAGAGCAATCTGCTAAACTGAAATCAGAGAATGCGCCCCCAAGATTAGCCTCTTGGATTATGTTTCACCCTGCTCTGCTTCACCAGTGCAGATAATTCAGCGTAGATTATATGTATAAACAAGGAACTGAAATCCAACGAACGTGATAAGAACACAGTGAATATTTTCTACTGTCAACGCTAAACTTGAGGGTTTTTTTTTTTCTTTTTTCTTTGAAGTTTGGGCTGGGAGACAGGTGGGGAGAAACGTAGATGGCACTTTCTCTACTGTGGTTAATAGCTGTTGGTGCCACTAACCTGAGAAGACCATGTTACAGGAATGAGAACAACTAACAGTTACTGACTAACGTTCAGCGAGCCATCATGTTAAGCACTTCACATGAGTTACGTATATTATGTTCCTGGTATACAGATAAGGAAATTGAGGCCTCGAGAGTATAAGTAACCTTGCCCCAAACCTTGCAACCTGTGAGTGCAACGCTGAGGCTCCCAGCCGAGACTCTGATCCTACCACTTAAGCCTTTAACCACAATGATTTCCGCCTCCCTAATATTCCAGGAACAATAGGCGTGTTTCCAGGGTCTAGGGGCAAAAGATCGCTGCACAGAGAAGTTTTGCTACAGAGATGGAGCTTAAAACTCTGGTGTTTGATGCCATAGACTTGCTCTGCAAATTCCTGCTCTGTCTCCTGCATTCCTTTTTTTATTCTAGGATAATCAAGTCTTATTATTGATTTAACAGATAGCTAATGGGTACCTCCTGAGCACAAAGCGTGAGGTGGCAGAGCAGACTGGTGCTCGGGAAGCTTCCAGGCCCAAGGTGGGGGACAGGGCACAGGGTGCACATCTGCAGAGTGGAAGGAAGCTGGTGTTAAGTGACACGCGGTCGCCCTGCTCTTCGCACTTTGGGAGCAGAGGAAGAGGCAACCATCACTGTCTGAGGATGCCAGAGAAGACCTGTGAGAGAGGCGGTCTTCGGTCTGGGCCTTCAAAGAGGTGTCAGATTTTGGCAAAGTAGAGCAGCAAGCCCTCCAAGCAGATACAGTAAATCCCGGTTTGCAGACTCGGGTGCGGTTGAGACCAACTGTAGGGTTGCTGGAGTCCTGCCTGCGTTTTGGCTGCAAGTGTTGTTCCTAGGTGTTTGTATCACACATGCTCACGTGCACATGTGTGTACACACACACACACACACACACGCAGCCACGTAGCTCTGCGTTTGTAGTCATTCGTCCTGGAGTCACTGTGAAAAGCATAAAGCTTCGTAGACAGCAAAAGTTAACCCTCTCATCAATATACCTTCTCATCACCTGGTTTCTTGGGCCATCTTAGCTTTGCACCCCTAGACAGGACAGAGAAGGGCAGTTTAGAAAATTCCTGCAGTACTCTTTTTGAGTACCCATTTTCATTCTGGATTTTCTTTATTTAAAAATTCAAACAAAAGAAAGAATGAGAGGAAGCGTGAAATGAGGTGGGTAGAAACTCATGAAAAAATGAAATAATGTAATTCTCTGAATAATACAAAACCTGTCATGTAAGTTTGTGTTCTGTTTTGTTGTCATGAAAATACTGACCATGAATCTTTAGGATTGGAATTCTTTAGAATGGAACTCCTCTGGGATCAGGACGGGCCCGTGGTACAAAAGACAACCTGTACAGGCATTGATAGGTGTAGTGACGGGGATACGCTGGCGTTATTGAGACGCTGAACGCTCGTGTTGGAACCTCAGCGCCACCCAAGATGGTTTTTCCCTGTTTGGTTGGGAGGAACCACCCTCTGGCTCATTCTGTTGCTTTCCTCAGCTGCATTGTCTTGAAGCCCGAAGGTGGTGGTGGGAAAGGGCAGGATTTAAATGGAGCAGAAAATGAAGGGAGGATAGAAGAGGAAGGAAGACAAAAATACCTTTTTTAAAAAAATCAGGTTTATTGAGGTATAATTTGCATTCAGTAAAATTCCCTGCATTAGAGTATACTGTCCTATGAGTGTTAACAAACGTATACAGTCCTGATGTCCTGTGACCACAACCACAGTCGAAATATTAATATAAAGCAGTTACGTTACTCAGAAATTCTCCTTTCTATAATTAGTCCCTTCTCCCAAGTCCTCACAACCACTGATCTGTTTTTACCCCTGTAATTTTGCCGTTTCTAAGATGTCATGTGAGCGGAATCAGTGTGTAGTCTTTTGTTTCTGGCTTTGGCCATAATGCTTTTCAGATTCATCCACATTCTTTCATGGATAAGTAGTTAGTTCCAAGAATACCTTTGAAAGAACCTTTAAAACAATAATCCCTGTAGTGGACCAAGATTCAGAAATTCCCATAAAGCATTAATCACACACCTCACCAGCCAGCAGCGGGTTCTGCGCTTGGCTTGGCTTTGAAGGTGGACGGTTCCTCCTTTCCCTTCTAGCAGTCTCTGAAGCTTCTGGAACACACTTTTGCAGGAAATAAGAACCACAGCAAAGAGTGAGCCTCACTTTCTTATTAATCGGGACTCTGGTTGCAAGTAATGGAAGTCGGCTGGAACTCGATTAAGCAAAAGAGAAAGGCTTGTTGTGCACTGCAGGGCTGGCTCGGATCTCAGACATCAAGGGCAGCCGTGCCCCAGGGCACACCAAAAGCTTGGACTTCTCTTGTCTCTGGGTCTCTCCGTTGTGGGCTTCCTTCGCCTCCCTCTTGCAGACAGTCTGGTTCCACATCCACATGGTAGACTCTGGTTGCCCACAGTCGAATGGTGAGACTGGCTGCCTGCTGGCTCTCAGGCCGGTTCCAAATTTCCAGGAAAGAATGAGCCGTCCCTCCCCAGTCCTGTCCACACTGAGGAGGGACCGTCGTGGGATGCAGGCGTTTGGAACGTTGTTGTTGCCCACTCACCGAATGGACGGGAGTTGGAGAGGGTTTGTGGATCAGAGGCTGTAAAAGATTCCTTTCCGTTCTTCAATTTTATCCGGTAGCCTATAATATATTACTAACCTGTCTTCACCTGACAACTAACATTCCAGCCTTTTATATATTCAGTTTAGAAAAATAGGAAACAAAATACTTATATAATTATTACTATTATTATGTTATAATGAGATCTAAGAACACAGTGTTTTTGCCTGTATCTCACTATATTCATCTTTATTTGGTAGTTTTTATTTACAGTGTTATGATACTATAGCAGTTTGATCCAAATTCTCATCTATACATGATCTGAAAATATTTTTAATCCTTATCTTTCTAAAAGCTAATATAATGATTGTATGTTCTCATTTTTTTTCTTGGGGACTTCATTAGGAAAGGCTACTTTTTCCTGAAAATTAGTGACCAGCAGTTCTTCTCTGAGCCACAGCTGATCAACATACAAGCATTTTCAACACAGGTAATAAAGATACCAAGCCATTAATAATTGCACGTGCCTGCTGATTTGATTCTGAAGCACAAACCAAGGTTTCTTTCTGTTTTAGCAAAAATGATTGAGCTAAATTAATCTTGTCTTAGTTTCTTCATGAAATGCCACTGGAGTAATTTTTAGTATTTTTGGGTAATAACAGCAGCAACAATAATTACTAATACATCTATAGAACTCTTCTTCGTGATTCACGTAAGTAACTCAGTTGATCCTCATGCCAACATCATGAGGTATTATTATCCCCGGTTTACAGATGAAGAAACTAAGTCACAGAGAGGGTAAGCAGCTTGTCAGTGATTAATGTAGCAAATAAATAGAGTCAAGATCTGTGCCCAGTAAATCTGACTACAGAGTCTGTGTCTAAACCATTACACCATGATGCCTTACTTTATTATACTGGATCTGACCCTGCCTTTTGGAATAATTTGAATCTGTTCCTGTTGTTATGACTTTCCTTATTCTCAGGTAAATGGGTTTGTTGTAGCAAAATGTTTCTCTCTCAGGTGTGTGGAATTTGCCATCAGAGCATTTTATTAAGGGTCCACTTAAATGAGGTGCCGTGTGGTCATCAGACACACCCAGCTCTGAGGCAGTCACGGTAGATGCTGCAAAGCATGGCGGGGTGGTGCTCCAGACTCATCTCCCATCGTTCATTTCTGCCACGTCACATTTACGCGTCCAGAATACGCAGAGTGGTAGATGCCCTGAGGACTGGGCTTGGGGGATTGAACAGCTGAAATGTGCAAAGAGAGTAGAGACATAGGTACAGCCACAGGTTGTGAAAAGCAAGAAATTGCTTGGGGTGGGACAACCTCCTGGGGAACCAAAACTACCTCAATATTTAGACGTCAGCATTGTGTTAGTCGTGATTCAAGGAAGGACACCAGATTATTGTTTTTAAACTATTTTATCTTTGGTCCCAAACTGAAAAGGCCACGGATCATGGATAACAACATAGACTTGAACCAGAAGTTCAATGGTATTAAGAACCAAGTTCAACCCTTCTGGATGGTATTGTCACATCAGGGATAACTTACTTAGGAATGATTAGAAATTGATCCCAAGTTAATTTGATCCCATGGGTGGACAAAAGTACAATTTTGTTTTAATTAGAGCTAAAACATGTGAACTGTGTAAATATAGGCCGGGGTGCCACATCAGTCTTAGGACTTACTGGCTTAGATGTTTCTCAGTACTTAAACCCAGAAGGTATGTTTTGTTCTTTTTGTCTGGGCTGATATCATTATTCCAATGAAAGACCCATGGTAGATATCGGCAAGTCTTCCTGATCTGGGATGGTGAGTTCCCATGGTTGCCTGAGTTCTGTGTGTTCGTTTTCCCGTAATTGAGTGAGTAGATAATGAGGGCACGTTTTCATTTTATTTATTATATGAGAAACTTTTATCATTTTAACTTTTAAAAAATGGAATTTTAGAAAATAATTTTAACTTGTTTTTGTTCCTTTAAATTTCTGTGATATTTCAGTATGGTCTTGACTCTCCCTGAGATTTTCTCATGTAAGTTAATTTGATCTTTTCCATTTATGGATTTTGACATCACCTTTGACCTTTCCTCTTTCAGAATATGAAAGGCCATTCATTCCCATATATAGAATCACAGCTTTAGAATTCTCACTTGAGAATTCTGAGTAGCTATCATGTAATTTCCCACTATGTGATTATTATAATGATGCATTAGTTAGACTTGACTTTAATGGAGATTGTAATTTTCAGGTGGCCAGGAGAGTGCTTGGGTAGTTTAAAAAAACAAAAACAATCATTTGGATTAAAGAAGGCAGTGTGTTGAGAATAGTCCTAAATGGTTGAAGTTCAAACGATATTAAAAACTGAGATAATATTTTCTTTGGCTTCTGGCCTCAAATTTTTGTTTGTGGGGGATGAGGGTTTTTTTTTTTTTTTCTGCTGTGGTTCATTAACTTTTATCTTCATGAAAGAATGTTTTATCTGCTCACTCAAGTTGGCAGGAGGAACCCTGACAATCCTAAGGAAAACATATCAAATTTTACTATATCAGCAGTGCCATGTGAATTAACCAGGACCAGGTGGCTGCCTTACTCACCTAGACTTGTCAGACTTTATAACCTGAGCTGGGGTGGAACTCTGTCAAGATTTGGATGAGAGAACCTGGAGAAAATTACCGACAGGGACCAGAAATAGCATGAATTCAGAGCGTAGCAGTGGCTCACTCTGAGCCAGGGAATGCTCACCTCCTGGACACAAGTCCAAAACTTTCATACCTCTCATTAGTGTCTCTTGGGATATAGTGTCAATCGAGATAGCTTAGAAATTAGAGATTTGGAAGCAAATTGCTTTCAATTGCCTGTCATCAAGTTTCGACATGGCTTGAGAAACCTCTAGACCCCAGAGGTGTTAAGTAACCTCAGGTGCTGTGATGACTGTGACTAACCACACCTCTGACCACTGCTTTCGCCACAGAACAGTCTGGCACTTGGCTAGAGCACCTAGAGTTTCTTGAAAAGCAGAGACATAACAATCGGATATGTAGTCCACTGGATGACACTGTTTCCCTACTGAGAGACTCTTCCGCTCCTTCCCTCCACAGGCCCCCTATGTGCTGAGAAATGAGGTTCTCCACGTTAGCAGAGGAGAGACGGGAACCATCACCACCCAGCTGCTCGATATCCGAGACGATGACAACCCACAGGATGTGGTCATCCAAGTGCTCGATCCTCCACGTCACGGCCAGTTGCTCCAAACCCTCCGGTCCCCCGCAGCCCCTGTCTATCAGTTCCAGCTGGAGGAACTCTCCAGGGGCCTTCTCCACTACGCTCACGATGGCTCAGACAGCACATCCGATGTTGCCGTCTTGCAGGCCAATGATGGACACTCCTTCCAAAATATACTGTTCCGCGTGAAGACCGTGCCCAAGGTAGGTGTCGTTCCTGGAGTTACGGTTTCCCTGCACCTAGACGTGACGTCCTTCTGAAGATGTTATTTGACAATGCTCATAAGGTTAAGATACAGGTAGTTATTTGTTTATTCAAACATAACCCCTTAGGAAGGTGCTTATTAAGCATGTATTATACAGATGGCAATGTATATTTTGAAATACCTGTCCCTGTGTCCTCTACAAAATGGGACATTTTTGAACTTTACTTGTTGACCTCTTGCCACAAAAACATGCGTTATTGTCCACTGATCCTTTTGTCTCCTTCCTGAGCACAATGATAAGAATCAAAGTATCCCTGGTTTTGTCTGCCCTTCAGAAACAGCTCATGAAACGTGACATTCATAGTCAGATAATCTTAATGAATCAAAAAGAGTGAGTTTAGCCATAACGTTAGCCCAGCTGAAGGAGGATGAGCAAACTCTTTGGTAATCGTAGGGATCGTGGCCCAGGGAGCAGGAGCTCAGCAGAGAGCACCGTTGCCCGGCCTGAGTCATTGGCCACCTTTGTGTGATTTTCCCACATCCACAAGCACCTGTGCTATTATTTACTTGTTATTTTTCTTTGAATCAGCTTTTTTATTTTGGCCTCATCCTAATAAATAACACTTGTGAAATCATGGGCTTAATGTAGAATTATACTTTTTTCTAAAATATTAAAATTAATACACAACCATTCTATAAAATTTTGTCCACATATCACAGAAAATGTTCCTGGATACTAAAAATGAGATGGCTGTCACGCGTTAGGAAATACTGGGTTAACCCATGCTGGACCGAAGAGACCTACTGAAAAATATTTTCAAAACTTGATGTGATTTTATCAGAAGCCCTTTTCTCAGTTGCATTGAGAATGGATCTTTCTCATGGTAGTAGATGGAGAAACATGATTTTTTTTTTTAAACTTTTTATTTCAAATATCGCTGCCTACTGAGGTATCATTAGCTGGAGAGATTGATTTGCCAAGGACAGTTTAAAATCACTTGTCACTTTCTCACCAGTTATCACTCAATTTGCAATTAAGCCTCGTGAAGGTGAACAGCTGAATCTAATATGGTCTGCAAGCTAATTTCTCGGCTTCCTGTCTCATTATTTTCAGCTGCTGAAAACAGTGACGGTGGCCTGAGAGTATGGGCGTAAGTGAAGGCTGATTATGAGGTAGAGCTGGCAGGTAGCCACCTTGTCGCTGGTCCTAATTAACACCCTCTTGCAGTTGCTCTGGGAGACGAGGTTTAGTTCTGGAGAGATGAAGTCTACACAGACACAGAGTTTTCTTTTCTTTCTTCTTGGTTTCTTTCCAAGAGTTGTTACAGGATTTCCGTGCTACCCTAGCAGCTGCCTTTCACGTTTGGATTTCGGTCTCCGTGTTTGGAGCTCAGTTCGGTATATCACACAATCATCCTATGTGGAATGGCTCAGGGTTGAAGGGCATTTATAGGACTTTAGCTGCTTCAGCTATCAAAACAAAACAAGGAAAAATAAGATTTTAATTTATAAATAAGGCACAAAGCACAGAGTTTTGGAATCCTTGCAGCCCCTATGACTGGTGAGTCATGTAGGAATTGCTGTGTCTATTTGTGGTTCTGGAAAGTGAGTTTAGGTTCCCCCTTTCATCCCTCCGTCCCCCAGAGTGCTGTGCTTACCTGTCCACAGGTGATCTGTGATGGGCTTCTAAGCCCATGAACTGGACTACTGACACCAGTAACCTCAGCGTCCATCAGGATGTGCTAATAATCAATTGGACTGTAATGATAGTATTAATATAATACAAATACACTGTTTTTCCTCCTAGGAATTCAAAATACTTTACCTTAATCTGTTCTACTAGTATTTACAATATCTTGGTGAGGAAAGTTAGAATAGAGGCTATGTGACCTTATTTCTTCTAACAGAAATTCTACGAGTGAGAGGTTTTTTTGTTTTTAACATTTATTGGGCACTAAAGCTTGATGTGAATTAATCCATTTGATCTTAACGATCATTTTAGGATGTTTGTCCAATTGTTATCTCTAATTTTTCAAAAGAGGAAACTGAAGCACAAAGAGGTTTAAAAACATTCATTTTCGTAAAGATGTTTAGCACAGGAGCTGTGATTGCATCTCAGGTGTGTCTGCTTCCTGCACGTAACCACGAGGCACTTTTCATTCTACCTGTATTTCCCAGTGTTTTGGTCACATATATCCTATTCCCTTGATGGATAGAATGGAGACAATAATTTAGTCGTTTTCTCGATGTTCTATCCAAGCAGGCTGGGCCCCCAGCCTCCCATAATCTTTGCTCTGAACTCACCACATCGTGTTACAAGTGAGGCTATTATTATATCCATAAGTCTACTGGGCCCAAGAAGAAAAAAATGCCTTAGCTGGTTTGGCTTCCGATAGCTGTGAGTCAGACATGATTGATTTCATCCTAACAGCCATTTCTGCGGATGGTCATGCAAGTGCTTACCCTGTAGCTACCAACGTGGTAACACATTGAGTGCTACACACACAAAAAAACAGAAACCTTTCCTTCAGACCACAGTGTTTTATTACAAAAATAGAATAAAAACTTCGAGTGTAATGTAAAGGTAAACATAAATTGAAAAATGAAATTTATTGACTTCTGTTCATTTAATCCACATTTTTAGAATTGAATTGTCAATGTTAATTGTTACAATAAGAACATCAACAAGTAAGATTTTATGTATGCTTCGCGTGGCCCTGGGGTCAAAACTAGAGTGAGTTAAATACGACTCTCGTGGTAGTTAATGTGTTAAATCTGGAGCGAGACCAATTATTGGCCGATGTCTAGCTGGGGGTTTAAATGAAACGGCAAGTGGTTTTGGTTTAATTCCTAGTGAATGGACCAGAAAATTTATCCTAACATCTTTGAACTGAAAACTTAACCCGGCAAGGCAGATAGGAAGGGATAGAAAAAGGCTTTGTGGGAAGAGGGACCGTTCCCACCTTCCCGTCTTGAGCAAGGCACATCGTAGGAGCTGGTGCGTTTCTGTCGGATGAGTGGGTGATGGATGGGTGCGGTGGCTTGAGTGTGGCTGGCGCCGTGTCCCTGTCCTCCCGTCCATCTCCTGCGTCAGACGAGAGCTCCCCAGGGCACCTCTGCCGATGCCGGGGTGCCCCATCTGGGACTGCGTAGAGGAGCTGTCAGCTCAACCCTTGTTTTTCAGGTTCTGCATGACTTCCCCAAACTTACTCTTTTTGTCATCGGCCTGGCAGTGAATAAACTTGGCTGCCACCTGCAGCGTCCTGCTGAGTTGCTGAGGAGACGATAGAACCAGAACTGATGTCGAAACATGTTCTGTTGGGGGAAGGAGACAAAAAATAAATAGAAAAGATCAGAAAGTAGTAAAGAATGCTCTGCTGAACAGGCTTGCATTAACTGGGTGGATTACCAAAGCCAAGCCTGCCAGAGATGGGATTCGAAAGCAATTTGACGTCTAATGATGGCTAAAACGCGGGCAGGGAACAGTCGTGTTTGTTGGTGGGCTTCTCTCTGCTACGAGGCTTTCAAGGATTTGCCTTCTTTCTCATTAATTGACGTGCCTCTGGAAATCATGCCCTTTTTCTACTCTGGTAATAAATCTGATGATCTTTCTGACCTCCTTTGTTGTTCTCGGAGCAGTTATTTTCTGCAGCTGCTTTAATGCTTTAATGTTAAAACCCCTCAAGTGCCGTGCTCAGAACTAGACAGAAAATTCTGTTGCTGGGGGGTCCTGTCTGGCTGTTTATCTGTGGTAGGGCCCATAAACAGCTAAAAAGCCCTCTTGTGTTTTCCCTCAATCCCATTAATGCCTAATGAGAGCATCCGTTGTATTTCAGGGACTCTGATAATAATGATGTTTATGAGAATTACAAATATCAATGGCACAGAAATGTTTTTTTATGAATAGGAGGCTATCTCGTAAATATAAATACTGGCTCATGTCAGGGTCTCACCTTTTTGAGGGCTTGCTTAACTTACCCAATGCAGTGTCCCCCGAGGTACACACTCAGAAAAGGTGTGTTGGTTAAAAATGTATCTGAGCCAGGCATGGTGGCTCACACCTGTAATCTTAGCACTTTGGGAGGCCAAGGCAGGAGGACTGCTTGAGCCCAGGAGTTTGATACCAGCCTGAGCAACATCAAGACCTCATCTCTACAAATAAAAAATAAAAAATTAGCTGGGTGTGGTGGCGCGTGCCTGTAGTCCCAGCTACTCAGGAGGCTGAGGCAGGAGTTTGAGGTTCCTGTGACCTATGATGACACCACTGCACTCTAGCCTGCGTGACAGAGTGAGACCCTGTCTCAAAAAAGAAAAAAATAGGCCAGGCGCGGTGGCCCACGCCTCTAATCCTAGCACCCTGGGAGGCCGAGGTGGGAGGATTGCTTGAGCTCAGTAGTTTGAGACCAGCCTGAGCAACAGCAAGACCCCGTCTCTACTAAAAATAGAAAGAAATTGGCCAAACAACTAAAAACAGAAAAAATTAGCCGGGCATGGTGGCGCGAGCCTATAGTCCCAACTACTCGGGAGGCTGAGGCAGGAGGATGGCTTGAGCCCAGGAGTTTGAGGTTGCTGTGAGCGAGGCTGATGCCACGGCACTCTAGGCCGGGCAAGAAAGTGAGACTCTGCCTCAAAAAAATAAATAAATAAAAATTTAAAAAGAAAAGAAACAAAATAAACACACACACAGACACACGGACACACAGACACAGACACAACAGTATATGTGTACGTATCTAAGTTGAAATACACCTGGAGAGAAGTTTCTATCTTCTTGACCTGAAGTATCAAGCTTCTGAGGCTGGTAGAGACGTTGACACACACAAAAACAGCCCAATTGTCTTTCCCTCTTTCTCTGTGCTGGTAAATTTCACCTTCTATCCACCACCATGCATGCTCCTTCCCTAAAGTCCCCAACGTCCTGCAAGATGCAATCGTAAAAGCTGTGGTATAAATGAGCTCTTGCATATCACAGCAGATTTTTATAGAATAAGTAAAATGTTAGGGTCGCTGTTATGTCCAACAATAAGTCATGTTCCATTTAGTGAAGTTTTAAAATTTTTTACCTTGAATATTTTGGCCTGGGGTTGGGGTACACTATCATTTGAGCTAAAATCTCATCATTTATGGCTCAACGTTTAATTTGGGAGGGAGGGTTTTCATTTTGTTTGCGAGACTTTTTTCTCCAAAAGACGGAGGCTTGTGCACTTACTTCTTCTGGTTTACAACATTAATATTTTTACTTGTAGTATGATACGTAATGGCTAAAATTTTATTACAACATTTCTGTGTGCCTATTGTTCTATGAGATTAACGAGAAGAACTATTTAATTTAAAGCAGTGTTTTAATCATGCCCCCAGTTTTACTTGTTGGGATTTTGTTGCCTGCTAATGTGGCACTCTGGAGTTTGTATAAAACATTACTGGACAGATTCTTCAGTTGATAATATAGCTAATTTCTTGAGCCAGCAAAGATATATACAACATTGTACAGAAAAAAAAAAAACTACAAGGAGATAAAAAAATTTTTGAAATGTTAGAACCATTGGAGAAATTAGGTTAAAATTTGGCTTTTTGGACACCGTAGCTGTAAAAAGATGGTATATAACCTTATGTTCATCTCCCTTCAGCCTTCCCTAGACCCCTCTCCCAAAATAAAGCAACAGAAAAAAAAAACATGTTCATCATGATGAGTGGGGAGATTCATACTTCTTTAAAACACAAAACACTTTATTGAGGTGTGATTGACATGTGAAAACTCTACAAATTTAACGCACACCTGGGGAGGAGTCTGGGGAGGAGCATAACCATGAAACCATCAGTGCCATCCACGTCGTAGACATATTCATCACTCTTAAGTCCCCTCCTACCCCCTTTATGAATTTTACTTACTTTTTTTGTGGTAAGAACATTTAACATAAGATCTACCGTGTTAGCAAATTTTAAGCATTCTGTAGAGTATTGTTAGCTGTAGACGCTGTGCTGTATAGCAGAGCTTCAGAACTTAGTTCTCTTGAGTATCTGAAACTTTGTGCCTTTTGACCGTCCATCTCCCCTTCCCCTCTCCCCCAGCACCCTGTGGCTGCTAGTCCGCTCTCTGCTCCTTTGACTATTTTAGATACCACGTATAAGTGGGGTCTTGCAGTTTGTGCCTTCCTGTGTCTGGCTTATTTCACTGAGCGTAGTATCTTCCAGATCTGCCCGTGTTGTTGCGGATGGCAGGATATCCTTTTTTAAGGCTGAATAATGCTCTATTGTATATCTGTTTATCCACTGATGGACACTTAGGTTGGTTCTGTGTCTCTGCTACCGTGAATAACGCTCAACAAACACGGGAGCACAGATATCTCTTCCACGTACTGATTTCATTTCCTTTGGATCTGTATCCAGAAGGGGGATTGCAGATCATGTGGTAGTTTGTTTTTAATTTTTTTGAGGAAACTCTGTATTGTTTTCTATAAAACCTTTACCAATTTGCTTTTCTTCCAACATTGTAGCAGGGTTCCCCTTTCTCTGCATCTTCGCTAACACTTACCTTTTGTTTTCTGACAGCCATCCTAACAGGTGTGAGGTGGTTTGGCTTTGCATCTCCCTCACGATTATTTGTGTTGAGCACCTTTTCATATACCTGTTGGCCATTTTTATATCTTCTTTGGAGAAATGTCTATTCGGTACTTTCCCCATTTTTTAATTGAGTCATTTGAGGTTTTTGCTACTGAGTTGTAGACGTTCCTTATATATTTTGGATATTAACCCCTTATCCAGGTAACGAGGTCTGTCTGGAAAGTATCCAGCCATTGTTAATATAACGAGAAAATATTATATGGCTGGATACTTTCCGAACAGACCTCATTATGTTTTGCAAATGTTTTCTCCCATTTCTTGGGTGACCTTTTCATTCTGTTGATTGTTTCCCTTGCTGTGCAGATGCTTTTTATTTTTAGGTAATCCCACCTGTTTTTGTTTTTGTTGCCTGTGCTTTCTGTGTCATATCCAGAAAAATAGTTGCCAAGACCTATGTCAAGGAGCTTTTTCCCTGTTTTCTTCTTGGCATTTTACAGTTTCAGGTCTTATGTTCTTAATCCATTTTTAGTTGATTCTTGTGTATGGTATAACACAAGAGTCCAATCTGTTTCTTTTGCCTGTGGATGTCCAGTTGTCTTATTTATTAAAGAGACTATTCCTTCGTCCTTTCCCCATTTTGTATTCTTAGCACCCTTGTCAAAGGGATTTATTCTTGGGACTCCCTATTCTGTTTCATTGATCTGTGGGTTTGTTCTTATACTAAGCTTTATAATATAATTTGAAATCAGAAAGTGTAAGGCCTCCAGCTTTGTTCTTCTTGTTCATGATTGCTTTGGCTATTTGGGGACTTTCGTGGTATACACAACTCTACCGGAGTTAATAGAGCTTCCCCCCAGCATTCTGGTAGGTTACAGGCAAAGTTTTAGACACACTTTTCATGTTGTATAAAAAATATGCTGTATCAATTGTAAAAGGAGGAATTTCTCTGGGATTATGCCCCGGAGCAGGATAGAAAGTGCCTTTACTGCTGTTCTCGTGGGGACTGTTCGACTCAGTTTCCTGGTGTGTGTGGTGAAAATGGCCATGACTGCCTCCTCACAGGGGGAAATGCACAAGTGCCAAGTGACGGCAAAGGGACGGCTGTTTTCTGTCTTCTGAATGTTCTCCTCCTGGGAGTATGGTTTGCTTTGTTCTGTTTGTTGGCATATTTGAAAGTAATAACAATAATTTAGAAAACCATCTCTTCCGAAATATTCTATTTTAAAGTATCAGATTTACTAATTTTCGAAGTATAGAAACAAACTGAAAACTGAACACTGGCAGCATCAGTAATCTCGTTCTATGGAAAATGCGTGCCTTGCCAAGCAGGGATGGCAACAAGTTTTAATGATATTAGCTTTAGCAATAAAACGGTTCCCTTCTCAGGAGTGCTAAACAGGTGATTTCTTCCAGCCAGTTACACCTAACTGTTGTTGCTTCGTTTTCTATCAGCCATTAGGTCCTGTCGATTCTGCTTCTGTAGTGTTTCTGGAATGTTTCTATTTATCAGTGGACTTACCATTGAATTTTCCACTGCAATACCCTCACATAGGCCCTCCCCTTCTCTCCCCCGAGCCATTACAAGAACTTGCTAAGTGGTTTCTGCACCTCTAGATTTCTCCCAGTGCTAGATAAATCTTCTGCTGTTGGAGTCTGTCTTTCTAAAACCGATTATACCTGATCATCCCATTTCCTTCCCGGGAGACTATGTTGACTTTCTAGTACCTATAAATAAGTTGAGACTTTTAGCATAGCTTCTGCCTTCTACTAACCTTCCACGAGACAGCATCACTTTTCATCCAATCCCTCCCCTGGTTCCTAAACTCTAACGGCACCAGACGCTTAGACATTTTATTAATACTAAACATACGCGGGGCATTGTCTCACATCTTTGCCTTTGCTCAGACTGCACCCTCTGTCTAGAATCTGTTTCACCACTTCTCTACTTAGAAAGCCTTTTTTTTTTTTATTATTTAAGAATGAAATGATACTTTCTGTAGGAAAATCTTCCTGAGGCTTCCTTCTGCTATCCTCCCATAGCTCCCTGCTCAAGCTTCTTAGAGAGCATCACTTGTGAAGCGTTCTAATTATTTGTGTGTCTGTCTTTCCCACTAGACTCTAAGTTGTGCTTCAGACAGCCTTGTATATATCAGGCCCCTAGCAAAGGAGCTGGCATAGAACAGGTGCTTTCTGAATGATTCCTGAATATGGGTGGATGGAGAGGTTAGCAGGACAGGTCGATAGACAGATGAAAGAAAGACATGGAGAGACTCAGTCTTCCTAAATGACGTCAGTTATTTGTCCATGATAAACTAAAAGGAAAAGTAGGACATACACATATGTAGACACATATGTATACATCTACACATAATAACACACACAAGCCCTAGTGTGACTCTAAAGTTGTATCTCTCTCTATTAGAGGATCTTCAGCAGAATAGAATCTGATGACTTATGTTTTTAAGACTGATATTTCCTTATTTTGCTTGGACCTAACTTTGCACTTTATCCCTTTTCTAGAATGACAGAGGTCTTCGGCTTATGGCTGATTCGATGGTCTGGGTTCCAGAAGGGGGGATGCTGCAGATTACCAACAGAATCCTGCAGGCCGAAGCCCCCGGTGCCAGCGCTGAAGAAATCATCTACAAGATTACACAAGACCACCCTAAGTTTGGTAACTCTTTTCCTTCCCCTTTGGCATGATTTTGTCTTTGCGTTCAGCAGTACAGGGTTTGCTTTTGTACAACGCCATGCATCAAGGTTGCGATTCTCATGAACCGAACTTTCTGATACTGTGCACATCCCCTTTAAAAACAGAATAATCATGACAGCTGTCACACTGTACGTGTTTACTAGGTAGTGTACTAAGTTTTATAAACACATTACATATAATGCCTAAAATTTAAGTTTCAAAACAACTTCATTTTGCAGATGAGAAAACTGGGGTAAAATTCGCTTGCTAAAAGTCACCTAGCGAATATGTCATTGAATTTCAAGGATCAGGCTCTCAAACTCCACCTGATATCCCTTTCAGAATATTACTAGACTTCTTCTTGATGAGACGTTTTAAAAAATACATAAAAGCATTTTTCATTGTTCTCCATTGTTACTTCTCCTTCCAGCAAGGTATTAGAGTATAGTAACCTGAGAAATTTTCCATCATCATCACCTAGAAATGCTGGATAAAAAAATAGCAAGACTTATAAGATGCTCATAGCTGACATCCCAAGAGTAGAGAGAAATCTCCAGGCGCCAGCAACAAGGAAGTCACTGAAAGCCCGTCTGTGCTGAGCTAATGCCAGGGCTCCCTGAGAGGGGTGGTGTGAGTCTCGATAACCCTGGGGCTTGGGACTTAATGCTGGTGCTGAGACGGGGCATTGGAATTAAGACCCTGCCTGAAACCAGGACTCTGGAAGGACATGCCTCCAACCGGAGGGCAGAATAGAGAACAAGAAGCATATCTGGCACAGAGAGGTGGCAGAGCAGTCTGCCTGCCTGTCCCACCTTCAGAGTGGAGCAAAAAGTCTGTTGAGAATTCAGAACTTCAAGCCTATTACTCCTGCAGACCTGGGGTTAAATTACACCGTGTGCCTTGTCTGAGAAAACTCAAAGCTGAGAAATTATATAAAAATGAATCCCAGGCCAATTAACCCAACCCCTTGGGTTCTTTATAGAAACTAGAAGAAACTGCTGTAGAACACCCCCCCCACCCTCAAGACCAGGCCACGCAGGATGCTCAGAGA